TGATTTTTGACAGTTTGATCTTTGTTTTGTCTGTCTGCGAAAAATATTGCCACTGAGCAAAGTGCATCCCTAGAGCAAATTTGCATAAAACAAAAAGCTTTGTACAGTAGGGGGGTTTAACTCCTATGACCTGATACAGACTTAAGAGCAGAAAAAACCCTCAGAAGTTAGTATAGTTAAAGTTCATGAAAATACAACTGGAAAAAGACAGGATGTATGGCTTTTTTGGAAGTGTTACCAGGAAAAGATTTTTGCTCTCTAACATGGCAGCATTGCTTAGGTTTGCACAGATGCTTCAGAGAAAGTCAGAAGACTTCTGAAAGAAGTCGTCCTTTCAGAAAGAAGAGATCTTGATGCCCAGCCCCACATTTGCTGAAAACCAAACACACCATATCAGCAGAAATACCTCATACCAACTGTCAGCACAGTAGTGGAGTGGTGATGATTTGGTCTTGTTTTTTCAGCCAGACACCTTGCAGTCATTGACTTTGCTGTCAAATGTGAGGCCATGTGTTTGACAGCTAAAGCTTATCTGAAAGCGGGTCGTGCTACAGGACAATGTACGAGCACAGAAGCAAATCTACAACACAAGGGCGGAAAACTTTTTAATAAATCAATGTGTTGCAATGACCCAGTCAAAGTGCAGACCTCAACATGATTAAAATGTTGTGGCAGCACCTCAACAGAGCTGCGCATAAATGAATACATGCACCTCCATGAACCAAAGCAATGTTATTAAGAAGAGTAGGTCAAAATTCCTCTGCAAAGATGTGAGATGATATGGTGATAAGGTGATAAGGTCATGTATAAAATGTTTAGTTGAAGTTATTGCTGCTGAAGGTGACCCACAAGTTATTTAATTGTGCAGTAGTCTTAGTTTTTCACAGGACTGCATAGAGTTCTGCAACAACTTTTTTCCCCCACATGATTGTATATATGATGGAAAATAAGGAAAAGCATAATAACGTCTCTTTATGTGAATGTATTAATGTTAATTATCACCTTAAATACACAGAGGCACTGTACATAAATACATTATCTATGTTTTCTCAAAAAACTATGTGAATACAAGAAAATTGCATGTAATGGAGGATTTTATGGTAAGTTATTTCATTTATACTGTGACTGTTTCTTCCATCCCCAGTATTCTTCTTCACCTATAGACCAGATTTGTAAGCTTATTGTAAATCCAGTCTTTAATGCTTGTGGCAGAGCTGGTTTCTGACTGAAGTGCACTCTGTTAAATTAGCTTTTTCAGAATTGACTGAAAAGGACCTGTTATGTTTATGGTTGGAGATAAGAGTGTGTAGATTAAATCTAAGCATCACATGCTTGTTTGAAGGGATCACAAGACATGTCTTGTGTCATGCAGTCACTTGTTTTGTCACTTGTGACAAGAAACAGTGATTTCATTAAGTTGGAACAGTATCATTGCTGGATTTAAAAAAACAAAAAAGCAACCTGACTATGATAATATTTTACTCCTGGAGGTGAAAAGTTCAATACATTTATGTGACAGCTTCTAATATTTTTCTTTACACTTGACTACTGGGATTATGCATCGATAATCAAACTCACCTGGATTTCGCCTTATTGACATTTGATGTTATGAATTTGAAACACCTTTCTCCTTTTTCCACTGTCACATGCTCAAGACGGCACAGGTGGATTTGGTGTATTAAAGTAACAGAAAATTTAAAAATGCATTTTTAGATGTTATTTAAAATATTACTCATTACTCGTATTGTTTATTTACTCACATAAACACAAAGAAAATAGTAAAAAGTAATATAAAACCTTGTGAAAATAGAGTGTTTATATGCACACTGATGCAGCCATTTGAATGCCAGTGGTGCATTGCTCTACCTACATTAATATATGGTGAAAATTTTAAAAACCCACTTCACACAATAAACAATTTTAGTCAAGTCAATAATGTTTTAGTCACATTTGACTGTGATATGAACAGCAGCATTTTACATTAAATTGAGATTGTTGCCTGTGCAGTCTCTTGAAAAGCTCCACACAATAAACTGATCTCTCCTCTCTAACCTGAAGCTAACCAGCTTTAGCAAGATAAGCCAATAAGATTTTACCAACTTGCTATGCCACTAAGGTCCTACTATTTGTCACAGCAGAGTTTGGAAGCTTAAGTGTACCGATATTAGAAATCTCTTTATGTCTGTTCACATCTAAAAATGTTCTTATAGTTAATAAAATGCATAGTCTACATAGTGCAATCCAGTTTGGTCAGGTGTTAGGAGAATATTATGCGTGTACTAAAAAGCAAAATTTGCATTAGATCATTAGAAGGCAATGCAAATGTGGCTAGTGCTCTGTTGAGGAGTAGAGGCTCTCTTTTATACCCGTTCCTGATAAGATTAGTAGTCTAATCTGGGAGGAGTCAAGAATATCCTTACATTCAGACTAAGGATCTTGTACACGTAACTAGTTGGGACACAATCTCTGCTTCTTTTCAAAACATATCACATTTTTTATTTTTCATTTATTCCCGGTCTGGTGGGATAGATAGATTCTCACAAAGGAGCACACAGGATCGAGGGGAACTTGTATTGCCTCCACAGGAGATAATCTGCGACAAATCAAATAAAGTAAGGCCACGGGATTGACTTTACGCAGAGCCGGGGATGGAAAGATGCCAGTCAGAGCCGTTGAGGTCGATGTCAGAAATGGTGGCACTAGCAGCTGTGAATATTCGTGAGTCAACTGCTGAAGGTAAATAACTGATTGAATATTTTTCTTTTTATTTACTTAGTTTTCATTGTTCGAGTGATTGAAGCTGCTTGACATTTGGTTCTTCTGCATGCTGGTTTTAAGGAGTAAGAATAAATTCTGTAATATGATGAGGTAAAAGGGGGGAAAAAGCTAACAATGGCTGATGGTAAATCCTTTGAAATTGTTTAATATGCTTTACATTTGACTGCAAGTGACTTATGATGTTGATCTTTGATTGTTACTGAAAACAGTTATATCTAAAAATATATTTGTTCTCTCAGTATCAGTCATACATGATTATGAGTTCTGACATCCAGTTATTTATGAGATACATTTTTCTAGAATCCATAATCAAGGCTCTGCTATGACCGTCAGCCTAAGTGACTGTTCATATGGCATCCCATGCAAAGACAAGAGGTGGATTTCTGATGGAATACAGTAAGTATAGTACAAATGCTGCAAACCCTTCAGTTTAATAACTAAAATGTTATTAACTGATGAGCTACAGTTGTATTTTTACTTCACCAATAAAGCCACATTAAAGCCATGCCAGAACAGTAGCTATTTTTACTGCAACGCGCTGATAACTTGCAATGCCAAACAAGGATTAAACACTTATAAGTGAGCACTGATGATCTTAACTATTTAGGTGTTACAGTACAACCTACATTTGACAGTCTCTGTGCTATGCAACAGTTGTGTATTTGAGACTTCTTAAAGGACTTTGACACTATCGCTAATCAAATCTCTAATCAAATAACTCTGATTTACATTTAGAGAACAGATTTAAGCAAAGGAAGCTTAAAAGAAATGAATGTGTGATATTATATATTTTTAAATTATTTTCCCTTTTATTTTTCTATAATAACTGCAGTCAAAGCCCCCAGATCAAAGTACACAATGGTAGGAGAAGCCATACGTTATGTTGTCCCTGGGCATATGCAGTGCTCGATCGGCTGTGGAGGTCAAGCCTGCAAGTATGACAATCCAAGTTATTGGAGTGATGACCAACAGGCCATTAGGGGCCTCTACTCATCCTGGTAGGCAATCTTTGTGCTTCAGTAGTTAATTTACCAGAATTCTCTGTTTGAGTTTGATGTTTTCAATTTTAATGTCTCTTTGAAGGTAAACTGAGAAAGGTGGCTGCTATGTAACATACACTCCACTGTTGTTGTAGGGTTACTGATCACCTTCTTGCCATGTCCAGACCTTCAACAGAAATCATTGAGAAGTATAACATTATTGATCAGTTCAGAAGGTATACGAAACTTTGTGGTCAGCAGTTTTCAACGTCTATCTGAGAATGCTCAGATGAAATAAGACTAATGAAGTGTTCTCTATCTCTCTCTCTCTCTCTGTTTGTGTGTATGTGAAGGAATGGTATTAAAACAGTGATCAACTTGCAGATCCCTGGTGAACATGCTAGCTGTGGCAATCCACTGGAGCTACAGAGTGGGTTTTCATACCTCCCTGAGGTCTTCATGGAAAATAAGAGTAAGTGCTTTATGAAATTCCTGATTCAGCTGTGTAGAGTTCAGTAAATTTAACCAAAAACATTTTGCAATTTCAGTTTATTTCTATAATTTTGGTTGGAGTGACTATGGCGTGGCCAGCCTCAGCACTGTGCTGGACATGGTGAAGGTCATGGCCTTTGCACTGCAAGAGGGAAAAATAGCGATCCACTGTCACGCTGGTCTCGGCAGAACAGGTAGCTTTGCGTGTAGTTTCCAATAAAATCTGTATGAAATGGTAAAATCTTTCATCTGCACACTACACAGAGGTAACAAAATGTCTTTTCTGACCCTCCAGGTGTTCTGATAGCGTGTTTTTTGGCCTATGCTACTAGAATGACAGCCAACCAGGCTATTTTATATGTACGTGCCAAACGCCCTAATTCCATCCAAACCCGAGGTCAGCTGCGTTGCGTCAGACAGTTTGTTCAATTCCTTAACCCCTTAAGGAGTGTGTTTTCTTGTGCTGAGCCTCGATCCAATCCAGTTACTCTGTCCCAGTACCTGAACCGTCAGAGACATATGCTGCATGGCTATGAGAGGAAGGAGTTGAGGCACCTGCCAAAGATTGTTAAGTTAGTGTCTAGGCTGCTGCTGGACATTGTAGAGAATCGACAGGTGATTGAGGAAGATATTCTTGAGGCCCCTGATATTCATGACATTGAAATGTGTCTCAGCATTATCGAGAAGATGGATATTGATATAAAGGCACCCCGCTTACCAGGTTCACCCACTTTACCAAGACATTTTAACGAGCCCCCCATCTTCTACCATCGTAAAAGTCTGAGCTACAGTGAGTCCGACTTGAGACGGTTGGGGTCAGAGCTGAACCTTCTCACGCATCCTCCGACCTCCCTGTCACAGAACAATATTGAAATGTTCATTTGCCTATCTGAGTTCCCCGCTTCCCAGTCTCATGGTTGTAGTAGCAACACATCCGATACCTCCCACAACTCAACAGGCTCACTTTGGTGCGTTAAGAATGAGGAAAACCAGAAAGATGGACCCATTCTACTGAAGAAAGTGAAGAGGAAAACAATCCAACGTAGCGAGTCAGTAGGAAACAATGAACCTACCAAAAAGGGTAGCATATTGTCCAGATGGAAGGCTGAGCAGAGGGAAGAGCTGGGAATGAATGGGGTGAAATCTCAAGGTAAAGAAGAGGAACAATCAGAGGTGCCATTTATCACCCTGCAGTCAGAATTGTCCCTGGATTCCAGGAGATTGCTTGTGGCACAAGCTCTGGCAGTGGACCTTTTTGTCGATGGGCATGAGGAACACAACAGCAAAGTTTTGACTTGGCAGGTATTTAACTCACATTAGTATTGTAGTGGTGTTAGCAGAAAAAGAAAGCATGCATGTAGCTTAGTTCCACAATGCTTTGTCTGTATGCAGTTCAAAGCCACTCCCAAAGCATTTTTGTTTTTGCCATGTCTAGTTTTTTCCTGTGTATAGTAATAATAATAACAGAATAACAGAAACCCACCCAATCTTGATATGGATTAATACAGAGACACGTTTATTCACGTATGCAGGCAGAGCTAAATCAAGGAGGTGCATGGGAAAGGCTGTGCATGGAGCGAGATCCCTTCATCCTCACTGGACTCATGTGGGCGTGGCTAGAGCAGCTTAAAGAGCCAGTCATCTCTATTCAGGATGCCAAAGCCCTGAACCCCGACAAGACGGATGCTCAAACGATCCTAAACACACTCGATCAGGTCAGTGTGTGCAGTTTAAGATTGAATACAAAAGCAGTATCACATTAAATTGCTCCAAAATGCTTAGTGTAATCCTCTTTGTCATCTTCTCTTAGGCCCCTAAAGAAACATTAACATGCATATTAGATTGCATGGCTCACATGCTGAAAATACCAGAGGAGATTGAAAATACATTCCTGAATCGTACTATCAAGGCTTTCACCTGGGTAACAAAAACCAACACACTGAATCACTTGTGATCTATTGAATAATTCAGTTCATGTACGGCTTCTAGTTTGTTCTAACAACTCAAGAATCACGTTTGTGTTTTAACAGGTGGATATTAATTCAGAGGACAGCAGCAAAGTGTACGAGTCCATGATCAGAGTCTTAAGGTGTATTCTTGAGGACATGAGATCTGCACTAGAACCACATGAGACGCCCACGTCTCCCTTCCCTGTAACATAATATATAGCCACTAATCTATGTTTGGTGCATTGACACTGTGGAAAGACAAGGATGCTTTTGTGCCTTGTGTCAAAGTTGTGTAATGTGTAATATAAACATTTATATGTTAACCTGCCTCAGTAGATTCCAAATAACATACTGAAAAACAGCTGACGAGAATACTTTATTCTTTAAGTATGCTGGGCCGTAAGCCTGGTCACATTCAACACATACCTCAGCTCTAAAAGCGTAGCGCTCAAACACAAATCTTACATTTATACAGACTTCTCACAACACAATACTACTGATGCCTTTCTCATAATTACCACAGGAATCCTTAACTGTATTACTTTCATTTATATTATAAGCATAGTGCTACCAAAGAAAATGCATATAACAAAAAAAGAAATGTTGATCCCTCTAGTGAGTGGTGCAAACTAAATGCAGGCACTTTTGTGAGCTTGTGATGCTCAGGCATTGAAGGAATAAGCTTTTAGGACATCTTTTCCATCATTCCCTTCAACCGATGCCACAATGCTGGAGTAGTCACAGGCGACGTGAGTAAACCCTCTGGAACAGAGTATGGTGTAAATATTATGTGATACTCAGGTCATAATGTCAAAGACATGCTTATTTTCAGTAATTATCTGCAATTATTGATGATAACATGGCATGGATAGTGTTGATACAGTAGGGATACTAAAAGACCACAGCTTACAGTACCTGGACATTGTGTGAGAGCCTCCCAGTAAGTGGTATCGGCTCTCCAGTGTCAACCCATAGTCTCTGTCATTTTTCCAGGTTAGCACTCGTAAGGAAAGGTCCTTGGATGCTGTTACAACACGAAAACTGTCCTGCAACATGAAAACAACATAAACCGATCATTTACAGGCACTAAAAATGGTGAACTTTTCACAAAAATGGTATTATGTATGGCATTAAATCAAGAATTTCAGCAGCTAATGGGAATGTCTCTGAATTCCAAATGAGGAAACAGCCTACCACGCATATGGAAGAGATTGGCAGAGTATGTTCTTTAAAGCTAGCAAGCATGACTCCTTTCAGTGAGTAAACCCATAGCTGTTCACCAGCTGCCAGCACTATGCAGTTGCTATCCTTGGCTGCTAGGAGGATGTTTGAGGACGAGGCATTCAGTGTCAAGGGGAAAGACTCGACCTGCTGGACTAAAATGTAAAGGAGACTCAGATTACACTTGTACAAGGCAAATATTTAAGAAAATATAAGAAAGTCTAGGCTTAACATGTGGATCTAAAATTACAGCAACAAGACTGGTACATCATTTTTTCCAGTTGAAAAACCGCCTTTAAAACAGATCTGTGGGTGCGCTGCTTTCTAGTATTTCAAAGTTGTAGTGAGTGCTGTACTTGGCATGTCGGGCTTTTTTGTCCCTGAAACATCACTCACCAATATTGTGTTCAGAAACAAACATAGATACACAGTTTGCTTTAACACTTTATTCGAATCTACTTATCTTATATATGTGTTGAAATCATGAAATTTTTTATTATTCGAGGAAGTAAGCAAAACTCAAAACAACAAATACATCAAACTGCATATGTTCAAGTACCAGCAGTGGCTGTAAAGAGTTTTCCTTTTTGTCTTTTAAAGTCTGACTTTTACTAGTTAGTGTGCACATATCTGAGTCCTCACCTATGATCTCGGACTTGTACTTAGTCTTTTTCACGATGATATCAAAGATGGTTATGTCATTTTTGTGTTCGAGGTCATTGTGGTGAAGGACAGCCAGTCTGGCAGGCTGGGTGGGTATGAAGACAGCAGCCCGGCACCCAATGACTGGCACAGACTGGCAAAGGGGCTCTTCATCCTCAGACGGAGAGGTCAAACTCTCAGTGTAAAACACCTGGCATAAAAAAAACAAACACAAAATGCAGAACTCTATATCTATAAATGCTTTTGACTACTCCAACTGTGCAACATATATTTTCTACATGAGTCACTTATACAGAGGTAATGTAGTAAAAGAATCAGCGTACAGCAGAGCCGCTGAAGACAATATAAACAAATACCTTTGGAAAAAAATCATTATTCTCCGTAGTTCCAGCTGTGATCCATTTCTTGTCAGGTGAAGCTAGGAGTATGTTGACACTAAAGGTGTCATACACTACAATGCTGGACTTTTTAGTCAACGAAGGACCTGCTAGTGTACACACAGATCCCTGACCAGTTCCAACCTGGAAGGCAATATAATAAATCTTACTTTAAAACGATTGTATTTCATTTTCTAATAAGAAACTTAGAAATGCTGTGGTTACTTACGGTTAGAAACCAGTCATCATCTATGTTGTACTGTAGCAGTGTACAGTGTGATGAGGAAGTAGAAAAGGAGGCCAACTCCTGGCCAGATTGGCCTTGCCAGGTCTTAATCAGGCCCTGAGAATCTGCTGTGATCACAACTTCATGCTGTTCATCACTTAAAATCTTCATCAGAGGACTCTGTACAGGACTACACCACAGGGGCTCACCCTGAGAAAAAAAAAAGGGTGCTACTGTGTGTTACTGCCTAAGTGACAAACATTTATCCCAGAAGACTTTCAAACAATACAGGAGAACCGTCTGAGAGATTTTGGCTCAGCAATAAAGATATATACTGTTACAGAACAGTACAGCACGTGTAGTATTTCTGCGTTAACTTTGTGGCACTGAAGATCTAAAAAACAAACAAAAAAACCTCATGACTTATTAGAAATGTATCCTCCAAGCTTCAGTACGGACAGAAAAGACCAGGATTTGACACATAATGTTCAGATTTGATATGTTTCCTGTCACAAATTCAATTTAAGTCAGAAGTTTAAAGCAAATGAAATATTAATCTAGCTGAATGCACAATTTATGTTAAGCAGATAAAAATAAGACACTACTTTGCAATGGTGCAGATACTTCTAGCACTGACGTTTTGGATGTTCCATGCTCGGACCGTCCCATCAGAAGAAGCACTGCAGACTGTGGCGTTGTGGCTCCAGAAATCTGGAAGCTGGCTTGAATTTGCCTTTAGGTAAACAAACCCCACAACCCGGCCTGATGGAAAGGAAAACAGACCACAAACAAAGAAAATAGACATAAAGAACAGCATGCAAGCCTGAATTGTCACATTTTTGTTTTGCTATTTTTTTTAACTTATTTTATTTTTGGTTTTATTTTTAGTTTGAGTGAAGTTAGTTTCTAGAGATCGGTTGCTAATTTGAGTTTCGCAGTTTAATATTTTTTAAATAAACAAAGTTTGAGTATTTTTGTCTTTAGGGGTAGATTTAATAAGCTCATAATGGGTTTTACGTCACAAATGTGTGATTAACTGTCGACTTCTTTGTGCCTATTTTGTTGACAAATAAAGATAATTATAAACTGTATATTTTAATAACATTCTCACAATCTGCAGAGTTGTGTATATTCTGTCACTCCATGGTGGCAAGTATGTTGTTACGTTTACTTTTTTTTAATGCAGCAGTATGCCGGGGCAGCGGGGTGAAAGCAGCTGTGCCAGCAAACTGATCCAGATGACCAGGAAGGCTGGTCATCTTCTGGGGGTGGAACTTGAGCCTGTGGTGGAGGTGTCTGAGAGGAAAATCCTCAGCATCATCCGAGGGCTCGCTGTTCTGATGCAGGACTGAGCGCTACAAGGGAGCTTTTCCAGCTGTGGTGGTTACTGGATTATCTGTAATTACTTCTTACCTAATCCATTAATGACACTTTCTCCCTTTTACATCAGGGTTCTCATATATGAGATGCTGCACTGTATAATCTTTATAGTTTTACTCCAACTGTAAGAGTTTGATCCTTTCCAGGCTGAGATTGGTAAGTTTGAAGTGATTGACAATCCTGGCTGTCACTATACTCAGAGTTTGTTTCTATTTTTATTGCATTGAGCATGTAAAAGGCACGGACATTTTCCTCAGCAGTCAAGATTAATACAAGATTATTTTACTTTTATTTATTTTCTTTTCAGCTTAATTTCATTTTTCAGTGTTTAAAGTTGTTCCTGTTATTTATTAATTTACTCCACTTTCTTTTTTCTTTTTTTTTAAATTTTTTTTTGTTAGCTAAAATATTTTCCCCTCCTTCTTTTAGTTTAGTTCTAGTTAACTATACTAACAATGATGTAAAGGAGACTCCATTGACACACCTGTGTGCCCCCTGAGGCTTTTGCAGGTATAGCCTCCTGTGCGACCTTTCGTCATGTTCTTCTCCAAGTGGGATCGTCGCAGGAAGTATCTCTTCCAGGAGTGATTCGCCTGTTCACTCCCCAAGACTGCGAGGTTACAGAAACCCCAGCGCTGCAGACACATCCTCCTGAGGAGAGCACACACACACAGTCCAATGTTTACATGCGCGTTATCACGATTTCCACGCCCATCGACTTTTAATATCACGCTTTATGTTATAAAACTTGCAAACAACTCACCTCCATAACCAAGGAGTCTCTGCAGCTTCATGCCAATCCTGAAATACAGATTTGCAATCAGACACAAGTCACAATTTTTGTTATTTTGGCGCTACTTCCGCATGGTGGACACTCCTTACCTTACACACACTTGAAACATTAATTAAATCTTCCTGGGTAAGAAATGTAAAAATTTGAATCAGGCAGTCATCGATCAGCTGCGGTTCACATGAGTCCATGCTGGCATCGATACGGCGTTAAACAGATATTCCCGCAGAGACTATCTTTAATTTTTTCTCCTCAGTAAGTTAAAGAGAAAGTGCGACAGCAAACGGGTAAACTACGGAAGGAATCCAGGGACAAGGAGGGAGAGTTCGCTTTAACCCGCAGTGTCCTCGCTGCACCACCAGATGTCGCCATCATCAAAGACAGGCGATCCACAGAGTCTGGGACGGAGACGCACAACAGGTTGCGCGCACCAGACGCATTGTGCGTGGACAAGAGACCGGCGAATTCTACTTTTGGGTTAAAAAAAACCCCCAAATCCACATACAAAATTCAATAAAGGCGTAATTTAACCGGGGTTGTCAAAAAGAGTTGAGAGAGTGGGCTACTCTTCAATCAGATTCTCTAATCGGTTTTAAAAATCTGATCTTAGCTTTAATCAGGATCGTTTTAAATATTCTTCTTTTTACTTTGCTACTCTTCTTTTTGGAAAGTGGGACATAAACATAGTTAAATGCAGTGATCCAAAAATGTTAACCTGGGCAAAATAAAAGAAGGCTTTTAAATTAGTTAACGCGTTGAGTTATTAATATGCCCCCCCAAATTAATAAGAATCCTAATCAGCCAAGGTGAATGAAGACGAGAGGAGTGTGCAGGCTTGAAAGCGTGTGTGTGTGAGTGTTTCTGTTGAGATTCAGCCCTGGCGGGATTCTTCAGCAGGGCCCCATGGCTCCTATGAACACGCCCCAGATAGATGAAGCAGATAAATATCCAAGACCTGCGGGTAGCAGAGGAACTGTGAGACAGAGATAATCGCACTTGCTCACCCCAAGAGTTACCTGTGACACCCTCGCAATGACAAGAGGGCCCGGCGATAGGGGCCACGTAATGGGATTTTTGGATGATACCCTAGTCGGTGATTTATAAAAGTACCGAAACATCTGCTGCTCTTTTTTTTATGCTTTTCGTCACTTTGGACTTCCTCTGGAGTTACCTGAGTCGTGATCGACCGGAGCGTACGGGAACCGAGTGATTAATCAGCTCCACGAATCGTTGCATGAAACTGAGAGCTGGGCCGAAATGAGTCGGAGAACACGACGCTGGATTTTAAGAGTTTTACTTTGCCTGGGAATTGTTTACTTGAAAATCGGGTGAGCAGCGTTCATTTGAGTTCTCATCAGTTGCCGTAAGTCAGTCACAACACAAAAGACTTTAAAAGCTGAGGACTGGCGGACCTTTAAGTGCTGTCGGTCCTTCAGAAACCACTCCTGAGCCCCGTATTTCCTCAAAAGCAGGTAGAAGTACGCAGTTGAATAAATAAAACCAGCGAGGAGCGTGGACTTACATGGCAGTTGCTCTTATAAGTGAATCACGCTTCCTTTGTTATACCTTAATGATCATAAAACGCATACATTCATAATACTTCAAATGATATGAAACTGTACTGTAGGTAAGTTTCAGAAATACTCTCGCGGTGCACCTGAGCTCACACATATGATAGAATCTATTGTAAAGAAAAACAAACAATTATGTTGATTGCATCTCCTCTTGATTTGGAATTACATAGTAAAAGCATATTTAATCCACACGGACGTGTTAAATGCTTGGAGTATTACACCGATTTATAACACCAAACAGGAACTCGGGCTGCATCTGAATTTAGACTGTTATGTAAAATAAAATTAAGCTAACAAAGCTAAGAAGCTGATGGCTGCTTTCTCAGTCATATCCATCTTCCGTTTACAGTGGTTTCTCATCGGTGGTGGCCCTAGGTGCGAGTATAATCTGTAACAAGATCCCCGGTTTGGCCCCAAGACAACGGATTATCTGCCAGAGTCGCCCCGATGCCATTATCGTCATCGGAGAGGGAGCCCAAATGGGCATCAACGAGTGTCAGTTTCAGTTCAAAAACGGGCGCTGGAACTGCTCTGCGCTTGGAGAAAGGACTGTCTTCGGAAAAGAGTTGAAAGTGGGTATGTTGCTGTCTGTTAACGTTTGCTTAGCCTTCTCTCTGAAACTTTAGTTTTCCTCCCAGCAGCAAACACAGTGTATTAACCACCTTTGCGCATTGTGCGTAAAACAGCCTTTGCATTTGGCTCTTTTTATGATTTACCTCCAAAAATTAACATGCATCACATATTTATGCGTGTTTACTGTCACCAGTCAAGCACCTGCACATCATAAATATGAAAAATCATCTGTTTTTCATTAATACATTGCTGGATTTATACTATCAGGAGTCATTCACATCTGGGTTAGTCTTGAGCCCCACGTTTCAATGAGTAGGGCTCTCCGAGGTATCTGAGTCCAGCATGGTAACAAAACTCTTGCCACTGTTGGCAGCTTTTCTTTTCAGCCCCTAGAGTCTCTAGAGGCACATTTCCACTGGTCTTTATCCTTCTAGTGATGGGTGGCTCTCACTGTAAGGATGTCGGTCTTACCACGGGTATAAGTTACAGTGAGGAATAGCCAAGAGGAAAGCAAGACATGAAAGTACTAAATTAGAGAAACAAATAAATCCAAATCAAGTTCCTGCAGCTGGAATAAAGTTTCCTGTAAAGAGGGATGAACTCCCTTCAGGGGATGCTCAATTATCTTTGAAGTTTTGTGCCTTGTTTGCTAAAATGGATTAAAGATTATTAGATAGTGGAAAGGAAAGTGTTTGCTCAAGACTAAAGGCATTTTATCTTATGATGCCTTTATGGCTACAGGTAGTGGAAGGCTTAGAACAACAGAGGTGGCTTTGTCAAACTTTTTACCTAGCATTAAAAGATGTGAAATATGTTTTTGTTCCATCCCCAGCTAAAGATAATAAAAATTAAAAATCACAAATAGCCCTATGTACAATGGTTAGTAGCTTGGGCCAGCTGTTGGAGGCTGCTGCTTTGGAAAGAAAAGTTTATCTCTTCATGCTTCTAAAATGAAAACAATGCACTTGACAGTCTGTCCCCTTTTGAATGAGCGCTTTTAGCCAATCCAGAGTTTTGGTCTGTGTGTCCAAAAGAGGAGTTTAACTCTATTGCTTGGACAGCCGTACCAAATAGATTGGTTTCACTGATCAGATTTAGCTTAGAAGATGAATGGTTGTAAATGAAAACCATTGTTGATCCCCGGGCTGAGTGGAGCTGTGTAGCTTGCTATTGTTCTGGAAGCAACAATTGGAAATGAATGAGCAGGGTGACTGACACAATGTTGACGCAACGTGCACTAGATTTGAGACAGTTTAGACCTCGGCTATGTTTGCACTTGAACTTTGTAGTTGCACTAGTCTGAGATGAGGAACATACAAAGAGACTGCATAGTGAGAGGCTGAAGTGTGAGTAAACTGGCACTCCTAGTTCAACACGTACAGGCTTTTGATTTTTTTTTCTACTTTCTTTTAAAGATCTTCCTTCTGTCATTACAAGGTTATGAAGTATTCATACCATCTCTTGTGGTAAACCCGTGCACTCAGAAGTGGAGGGGAAAAATTAACAACGGTGCACCCAGAACTGACTACCCTGACACACCTTTTTTTGGCTCTGAGCCCATCAAGTCTATAAAAACGTCCAAATAATTGATGCCTCAATATGAGTTTTTTTTTTCAATGGCAAGGGCTCACATCCAAGTTGTTTATCAAAAACACGGCAGCTTTACGTAGTGAACTTGGTGGCTGGAGGAAGCATAAAGAAGGTATCATGTTTGTTATGAGCAAATAGTAACAAGAAGAGTTTATTTACACATAGATATGATGGATGATACACTTAGGGGTTTCCTGTTTGCATTATAATGAATCATAGATCTGAAACTAAAACATCATACTTGCTGATTTTGTTTGAGAATGCTAACATACATATTGGGAACATTTCAACATTGAATTGCTTTGTTTACATTACACTTGAGGTTTCAAATAAGACATTTAAAAGCGATATTAGACTGTCTCTCGGCTCGTTCGACTTGAGAGCTTTCATTCAGGTTCTGTCTTTTGACTCCTGTCTGAGCCGTTTCAGATTAACCTTTAGTTATTTGTCGATATTTCCGCGTGTGTAAATGATTTGTCAGCTGGGCCTGGAACTAGATAACGGCAGAATGAAGATTCTGATGTGACTGCCTTATGAGTTTACACAGAATGTGACAACTTCTAAGTGGATCAATAGCCCTTCCTTGCCGACAACTCTCTTATTCATACGGCTTTGTTGACAGTACGGCCTGCAGACATTTTGGTTCACAGGCACGACAGTTTCCGGGTCAGGTTTCGAAACACCGCAGCCCTTGAGCGATATGTCAGTAAGACTGTAATGTAAGCACACATATTGTTAATAATTTACCTCTTTTTCCTATTTAAACAACCTCTTACATTCTGTGGTATTCCTTTTATAGTAAAGGAGAAACACTATAATCTTCCCCTCTTAATTAAATCTAAATGTATGCCTACATTTTATTATTACACATCATTATCATATTATTCATCACTTTTTTTCCCCCGCTCCCCTAGGCAGTAGAGAGGCTGCATTCACCTACGCCATCATCGCAGCAGGGGTGGCCCATGCAATCACAGCCGCCTGTACACAGGGTAACCTGAGCGACTGTAGCTGTGACAAGGAGAAGCAGGGTTTCTACAGTAAAGACCAAGGATGGAAGTGGGGAGGCTGCTCAGCAGATATCAGCTACGGCTTAGGCTTCTCCAAAGTATTTATTGACGCACGGGAGGTCAAACAGAATGCAAGGACACTCATGAACCTCCATAATAACGAGGTGGGACGCAAGGTAGGTAATTAGCAAGAGGACTTTGAAAAAGTCCTGCTCCGATCTCCACGTCCTTTTTTCCACACTTAAATATAATGGTGAATTGATCTTAAGTAGTCTAAAGCTGGTAATGCTTTGATAGGAGTGAGCCAAAGCACTGAGCAGTGGGACCAAGCTTAAACAAGGAGTGGAATAAAAGATTGCTTTTAGCTGTCTAAGTGGCAGGGTTTGATTACAGCCCAGATCTCTGAACTGAAAACAGATTGACATGGTACAAAAAGGCATTAGCCCAGTCCCCCTCATGTTTTGCACCACTGGGACAGTATACAGTTACCTTTATGACAATCCCCACCCACAATTTCTCTGTTCGCACAAACCCACATCAG